CCAACAAGGTTGCGTTAAACGTTTAACGCTACATTTTTATTGGCCGGGAAATCACGTGGTAGGATCCAGTTTTCCCTCATTCAATTCCATATTGTTTTGGTTCTCACTAGCATAAAAATAATAAAAGTATTGTTTTTCTATAAATATTTTTTTAGTTTGTTTTGATACACATATAATTTAATAGGGTAGTATTTTTTACTTTCAAATTTAGTGGATAACAATTGTAGAAAATGAGTGAAAACAATCCCACGGACAATGCGACGGATTTAAGGTTATGTCAAGGTACGTCTCTTGTGAATATCTTAATTTTTAAGATTTATTTAATTTTTTAGTTAATTTAGATTTTTTATAAAGTAAAGTTCCCTTTTAAATTATTGTCAAGTTTTTTTAAGAAAATTATTATCTTTTAGCTATGGTTAAAACCTTGTTAAGAAATTGAAAACATTCCGCTGTTTAAAATTATTTGATGCAAAATAGCTGATTATTTACTAAGCATACTATTTTTTTCGAAAAAAAAAAATTATTGTCTTTTTCGTTTTTTTTTGTTTTTTTTTGTTTCTTGTGACTTTAGCATAGAATACCTAAAATAGCATTGATGTTTTATAAATCACTACAAAGAGTGTAAAGATACCAAACATAGAAAGCTGTCGAATAATTTTAATGCGTCTTAAAATATCTCAGTATCTTAAATGTCGTCCTAACATCTTAGTTGTGAAAGTAAATTTTTAATGATCTGACAACGTGTCATTCACAGAACTATCCAACTAATTATTTATTTATACCTTTTACTCTTTCTTTATGATACCATGTAGATTTTTTCCGGATTATATAGTAATTAAGTTTGTTTAATTTTTAACTGTAGCATGATTTCCAAGATACTATTGTAGTATAATTTGATATCAGGAAAATTCCTTATTTTGTTAAGCAGGAAATACTAAATATTGAAATTTGTAAGAAGATTCCGAAGCCATGCCAATTTTAGAATCATCTGATTTTTAAAAAAATGAAATAAAAAATACTCAATTTTCGAACTTATTTTGACAAAGGAAAGAAGAAAAAAAAAACGTGGTAAGAGGGCTAACATACTTTTTACAGAAACTGTGAAAACCAATTTTTCCTATATTTCGTCAAAAGAGGATAAGAATGATATTGCGCCAAGGAGCGTAATTTCGCTATTTCCAGAATGAAATCTGTTTAATCGTAACATATTATTCCTTGAAAATTAAAACGAAAGAAAAAATTAACTTTTATTATTTATCTAAGTTTATTCCATTTATTTAATGATAACGGTATCAAGGTTATGGATATGCGATGGAAGCCCCATTTACTATTATACTATAAATGCATTAAATCAAGTAGCTTGAATAATTTAGTTTAAACAAATTATTTAATAATTTTAAGTAAATAAGGGTGTAAAAATAAACTCGATCGAAATACTTCGAAAGTATAGCCTAAAATAAATGAAGAATAAACTTTGGAATCGATATATAAAAAATACCTTTTCAAACAACTTTGGATAGAACGGAAACGCTAACTTGTTTGAAATAGCTGTCATTGTAACTATTTAATTTCCATTCCTGGTGCTAGGGGACATTCCATTTTCACATTAAACTTGTGAAATTTCAATTGTAAGCAGAATTTTTTTATGTCCTTAAAAATGTTAAGGTTTGCAGAGAAAAAAAATTGTACTGCATTGATTTTTTACAAAGTAGTGAATAATTATTTTTTTCTATCTAAGAACCTGTGCCTATAACTTATGTAAAACTTATTTTAATATCGAGTGAAATAATTTAATATGTTGTGTTACTAAATGGATAAACCCAAGAAACTGAATCGAAAATATCGAAACTTGA